GGGGTGGCGGGATTGGGGCGGGGAGCCGCGGGACTGACGCGGTGCGGGGAGCGTGAGGCGGCTCAGCCCCGCTTTACCGCCGGTGCGGGGTTAAACAGCGGCTGCCTCGCCGACGTTCGAGCTTCTTAACGCTGCGCGAGCGAAGCGGGGGGCGGGCGCTCCGGCCGTCGTGGTGACCTGAGGCAGCGCGTCCGCACATCCCCTCGTCCGCAGGGCACGGGTTGTGCTGTGCCTTGCGCCCTCCATGGGTCCTGCAGAGCATTCTCCACTATCCAGTACTGCTGCACCGTTTCACATTCCGGAGCTCCTCGAAATTTTCCATAGCGTTTACATACCCTAGTGTTACATTTTCAAACATGGGAAGCCAAGTCGACTGCTCATACAGCTGAATTGGGGATCACACAAAAGAGTAATGCTCTTAGCCAGTTTTATTTTTCATTAATACAGTCCCTGTTTGCTAAAAGACACCTTTTAAGAACACACAGTATCAAAAATTAAGCTGAAGACTCACAATCTGTATTAGCTAAAACATCCTTTAGCTCTAATTACTAATTACTGAATTAAAAATTTAGAGTAAAACAATATAAATTAATATCTAGAAGGGCCAAGTACAAAACTCTCCCTGAAAATTTATTTCATTTAATACTTTAAAACTATAGTCTAGAAGAGAGAAAAGGAAATGTCAATAAAATGTACCACTTCTGTCATTAACGTGAGGTAACTCTTCTTACATCTTGGTTTGAACAAAGTCATGATGCACTTGAAACTGCCAGCTTTTTCAGATGGTCCATGAATACCTGGAGACTAACATCATCTGTCAAGATTGGAGCTCCTGACTCCTGCAGAAAAATAAAGAATTAATGAGCCTAAAAGACTGCTGTTAATATTGGGGACTATCCGAAAGCAAATCAGATGTTGGTGCTGTGAACTAATTGCCTGCTAAATCAATCACCTTTTTTCCCCTGCAAAGGGATAGATCTTGTGGAAAGATGCTATTCTTCAGCAGTAGGACTGATGCTGTGTTCTAGTGCAATGTAAACTACTGGAAAAAGAGAAAGTCTATTCTTTCTAAAGCCTTAGGAATTTTGCCACCCAGAGCTCTACACAAAAGAGGATATAAAAGTGTAGTATTCTCAGATAAATTATATATATATATCCATATGCTAGTTACTTCTTTCAGAATACTAAATACACTGTAACCTGAGAGTTTTAAATCACGTCTATAGGGAAGGGTAAAGAAATTTCTCCATCAGGTCATTGGAAACCTTTAAGAACATATTCTACATCAAATTAGCCGCTTTTTTTAGCCACCACAGAAAACTCTCCTGGTCTGCCTGTGCCCCAGCTATAGCTGGGATACAGGAAGGAGTATCAAAAGGGCAAAGAATTCCCTGTGAAGACCACAGCACCTCTATTTGGACAGCCATTGAGAAAAAAGCCTAAAAATTAACTGAATTTTGCTGAAATTTGTGGAGATTCACTACAAGAACAGGAACATGAGTTTAGTCATCCAGGCTTGAAAACAATTCTGATCCTCTTGTCATCTAGAGCTCCCCATCAGTACTTTTTATCTTAACAAACATGGACATGGACATGAATAAAAATCTAACCTGCCGAAGCTTTAGAGACAAATCTAATTAATCAGTTGAGTCTTTTAAAATGCTACAATTATTGCAGTCTCAGTTGGTTATTCCATTATCAGTTACTTTAGTACAGAGAAATAACTGATTCCTTGCACCACAAAGCACTGTAAGATTTTCCAATGCAGTCACATACATCTGCAAAAAGCTCTTAGGTAAGAAACAGAGGACAAACATAATCTGCTCATGGTTTTTGACCGTGAAACAGGATGGCTACTATGCAGACAAGTATGTAAAGGCACATTTTACAGCACTCCAAATGAGCAGCTCTTCTATTGCTTACCTGTCCCCATGCATAAAGGTTATTGTGGGTCTGAGAAGGGTTCACTTTAGACAACAGGAACCGAGCCTATTAAGACAAAATGTTAGAATAGTTATGTAAAATAGCAGACCTGTCATAGCTCCCTCAAGACTTCTTACCACCTTGGACACATGACTAGCAATGTTTCTCTGCTCCTGCAAGCAAAGTACTAATTTAACTTAAACAGGTTTCAAGCCCAGAAACAGCCTGTCTCCACAGGCAACTTGTCTCCAAGGGCCACAGACTGCTCTGCTAGAGCAAACAGTGCTCGCCTGGCACGGCAGCTCTAGTTCCAGGTGACACAGGCATGTCATCAGCACTGTCACTCACATTCCCCCATCTACTCTTAAGGAAAGAGGTCAGTGGAGCGTAACATGGTTACTTCAGAAACTGGTACCAAATGTTTGCTTTGGAGCTTCCATTCCTGCCTCTTGACTGCTACAAACGAGCCAGACACAGACAAGCACAATACAACTGCAATTCCAGGAAGAGCGAAAATAGCAACTACTTTATATTCTCATTCAGCATCTGAGAGTTTAGGAGCAGATTGTCAGGAGCAGATTCAGCATAACTTACTGTCCTAGCAAGATAACTGCACTCCCTACGTTGAGTAAGTTTAGGTACGTAGCCAAGTAATTTCTTTTCTACCTCTCTGGGGAATAAAAAGCTGGGTTTTTTGGGATTAGTTGTTTGTTTAGTTTTGTTTCATTCTTAAGATTTCAAAAGCCTATCTAGCAATTGATTGAGTTATTAAAAGACAATGCTGTAGTAAGAACTCACGAGAAAATGTGCAAGCTCTAAACTTTGAAGAGCTACATTATCACTGTATTTAACTTGCAGAACCATCCCTTTAGTAAAGAAGACAAACATGGGCTCTACTTAGCAACATAAAGTTCCTCAGTGAACCTCCTTACCTGACTCCCACCATGTTCAGTATGGATATAACGTGGCATCGGGAATCTAGTCTGCAAGATTTCCTGGGCGTCATCCAGTGGGGCTTGCAGCAGGTGCCTGAAGTTTTCATATTCGGGCATGTCCTGGTAACCAGCTTTCTGCCACTGTGCAATAGTCTATTGACAGGACAGGGAGGAAATTAAAAAAGAGTGGAGAACTGTGCAAGCCTCCCCTTTTTCACCTGCATGTCTTCAAGCAGCAGAACATTACATGTACTTCTGCTTACAGAGCACAGGGCAAATGCCCTTCCACTACTCTGGCAATAACATCATTTAGTTACTGTTTGTTCCCAGATTTAAGAACAGGCACTCCGCACAAAAGCTGGTAGTAGTTTGCACAGTGCAAGAACAATTTGTTCAAAATTATCTTCAAACCTTTATGTTTCAGCCTATGCCAACACAGAGACACAAAGCATTTATAAAACACTGATATTTTGAATCTGACTTGGTCTTAAATGAAGTACTTCCTTACAGTATTTTCAAGGTACTTAACAATATGTACCTAACAATTGTTCTGTACATGAACAGATCACACACTTTGCTCTTCCTTTGACTAAATCTTACCCAGTTGCTGAGGCCCTTTCTCTGCAACAGTAGGTAGAAACTGCTTAAGGTAACTTGAGAAGATTTGTCCTTGACTCAAAGCTTTCAACTCCTGTCCACATCAATCAGGTATCCTGCTCATTTCTTAAAGGGAACAAAGCCTATATAGAGTGAAGCTGGGAGCTAATAATGGAGCTGGTGCAAACCACAGTACCAAACTTGTAATAGCAGCCCTTAAATGAAGTAGCTTAGCTCACAAACGGAAAAGTTAAAATGTCTCCCAAAAAGTTCTCACTAATAGGAATGCTTGACCATAAACCAAGATGAGTTTATTTAAGCTACTCCAATCTGATGCCACATTTAGGTAGAAGAAACTCAATGAGGTCCACTCTCCAAGCAGGACTACAAAGAATGCGAGAGGGAAAAAGGCATCAGAGAGATTTCCAGAGAAAAAATATGGAAAGCCAACTTCCTTTTCATCCCTTACCACGGGAGTACTTAAGCATGTGAGACATTTCAGTTCTGGAGCTACAGTAGCATACCAGTCTCTTACAAAACCTGACAGGACTAAAAACAGATCCACAGTTCTGCATACTGAGGAGGCACTGGAAAGCCAAGGCTTTGGATACTGGTTTACATCTGGATGTTCAGAAGTGGCCAATACCTAAAGCACCCAGTGTAACCTCAGTCACAATGGAAGGAATATAGGAGCAACTATAAAAAATGTCCAATACTTAAAAGCAAAAACTGGAAACATTTGTAGCAGATTTCTTTAAGAGCAGCAGCATGTAAGTGTCAAAAGCTAGCAACCAAGTATGACACATAAAGGAAAAAATCAAACTGCAGCTCTCTGCTCTGCTTAGTTTCAAGTTTCTCTGTCCTTTCCTGGCATGGTAAGGGAACATCTTCATTAGCAAGCTAGCATGACAGCTACTCCTCAGAGCAGAACACATCTTTAATGACTCCAGCAGGATTATTTGTTAACTTGGACAGTGGGGAAATTATACTAAAACTAACAGCATGTATACAATGTCATTATGCTACAGAGGGCTTTGCCAGCAGCTGTTTTTATACTAGCAGTGAAGCTACCTGCATGCATGTCAGGAGGAAGGGAGCACAAACAGAGAAAGAGAATGTATTTCATTGTACCTCACCAAGGTAGATAACTATCTGGAAGAAGGTATCCATCAGTAGGATTCTGTCAGGAAGAATACTACTGCTGTCCAAAAGCACTGGCTGGGGAAAAAAAAGAAGAAAGTCAGGAGACACTAAGCCCTGGATTAGTGTATTAACCTTAATGGTTGGCCAAACAGCTTGCTCCGTCCTGTCCATATAGACACAACTCCACCCATGGCTGCTCAGTCCAAACAAAGGCCTTTCAGAGCCCAGTCAGCCTCCTGCAGCAGCAACACTGAGTGGAGCAGCAGGTTATCAGCTACTGTATGAAATGCAGGATGCAAGAGAGCAATCCAAGTTTAATTTGAAATGATCTTGAGGAAAAGTATCTCAAGAACAATAAGGAAAAACATGTGAGCTCTGACAAATGCTGCCAAGAAGGTTTCCAAGTGCTACTACAGCAGCTCCTGAGCTTCCTTCCTGCCACACACTCCTTTCAAGGAGGCTGTCAGTCTAAAGGAGTCTGTGTCTGCTCACTGAACATTTGCAGTTAAACAACGCTGCATAAAAACTGAAAACAAGCAGCTGCCGGGAGATCACAACCTGGAAGGGTTGAGGCTTGCTGACTTACACAGTGGAGATGGGAGCCTCTGGCAGAGAAGCAAAAGTGATACTGACAGCTGCAATATTCAC